AAGAAAAACATGCATAATAATTATCCTTTATTCTAAGTATTATTATAAACTTATTTATCATAATATCTTGGTAGTAAAAACTAATCAGCTTCATTTGCAAACATGCAGATAATTGCAGGTATATATGAAAAAGGTACATAAAGATTGCCTTCTGCGTTTTGCTTTTCTTTTCTTTTCTTGAACTACTTGATATTATTGATGTAATTGTCACTTGATGTTGATACCTATTCTCTTGTTTAGAGTTTAGATCACCCAAACTTGATAATTACTTGTTCTTCTGCATAGTTATCTTTTATGGGATACGCATATCCTACTTGAAAGTTTCTTATTCTTCGTACAATGAGTTACATAAAGTATTGTCAAATGTCAATCATGGTTTATAGTTTAAGTTGCGTGGGCTCATTTTCTCATGTCCAAAAGTGTAAGAACTCTCATGCATTCACTTTCCCTTTTTATTTTTTTATTTTGAACTATCATCTTGCATATGATGTCATTCTCGTTGTACTTTAAGAAACACCACTAATATCGATGTTATATTTATTTTAAATCATTCAGAGCATGGATAAGTTGATGGATGAATCAATTTTAACTATTGACAAAAAAGCACGTGTCGTTGGCGAATCTTCTAGAAGGGTAAGTATGAAAATCAGGATTATCTTAAATTGAAGCTTATTAAGTTTTTCTCATACCGCTGTCTGCAGGAAGTTATTGCCTGTAATCTGAAGTATGTGTTATTTTAAATGAAAAAGTTGTCAATTTGTCTATTTTGGTTTGGTTACTGAACTTAAATCCAAGGAGACAGGAAAAAGAGATGAGGGTGGTGGTGGATATGGCATGCCATCATCTAATGCAGTTGATTAAGTGATCTTATCTTAGTTGCTGAAGAAATCTGACTCGCATAATTGTCCTTAGTAGGGTATCTGCTGTTAGTATACAGATTATGCTCAGCATGGGTCTTTATCAATTTAATTTGATTTTATTGGGGGGAAAACTGCATTTAGCATAAGTCAAACTTGCAATTACTTCTTTGTGCATGCCTACTGAATATAATGTATTATGATCTTTGTGTTGGCTGACTTCTGTTCTTGATTTTGAAAGAAGTAAATATATTTAGATCAAGTTGATTTAATTGTATGTTTGTTAGGTGAGGTGAAACAACTTTCCCTTGGAGGTAGGGTATACTTAGAAGCATGTTGCATCTTTAAATATTTGATTGGATGGTTGTTGTACATTTGTTGTGACGTTTAAGTTCTAATATGGTTTTTCTAATGAAAGGAAAAGGTCAATCTCATTTTTTTGCATTTGGGTTTCAAATGATTTGTGCATATGGAAGTAGCTAATGCCATTATCTGCCATACAATGATGTGTAATTAATAATTATTGTCGACCACATGCCAGTCTGTCTGTATTTTGCTTTTCTTTTTCTTTCATTGCAACCTTGTAAGTAGAGGAAGTAGAGGGTTTATAAAACTGACCCTTTTCAAGGATTGCAGAAAGGCTTCTATGAAATGTATTTTTCCTCCCTTGTTTATAAATAACTGCTCTATTTCTCTGTTTGGAAATCTAATTTAGGTTTGCCTGTATTAATGCACTTGATTATTGTCTGAAGAAGAAACCTAGCTTTTTGGGCTTCTGTTTTGTTGGTGTGTTATGTTTTATAAGATCTTTTACATTCATCTTTTGTGCAGAAAACACTTCCTTAGTGACTAGTGTAGTGTTTGAAATTCTAATGTTCATCTTGATTGCTATGGGCTTTTCTTAACCCAACTGTGCTTTCACAGTCGAAAGATTGGAAGCCAAAATCTAAAGTACCTTCATTTGAAAGAAAGTCAGAAAATGTAAATTATCCAGGGTATGATCTTGCTTTCCATTTTCTTTCTTTCTTCTGTTGCATCTGTTAATATCTGCTACATCTGTTACTGTCATGGTCACTGTCAAAGAAAAGTGAAAATCTACTTTTTCTTTTGCTTTAGTTGGCCTCATTATAATGGGTCGATCAAACACTTTGTGTCTTGGTTTGTTTTCTTTGTTTATTTGGTAATGGAAGCAGAATTTCAAACAAAGGAGTACATGGGAAAAGGAATGAGAGAGAGAAGGTTCAGCAAGAACTCTTGACTTCTTTATTTCAAGTTCGTGAGCATTCTGAAGAGTCTTCTGAAAAAATAACAAAGGATGCTAAAAAGCTTTCACCATACAGAAAAGTGGTAGATGGACCTCCTGATGATTCCTTGGAAGAATTCAAGATTGACACAAACTACTCACGACAAGAAAACATAGGTGATATATATATATTTCCCCTCAATCTTCGTGGTCTTTTCCTCTTTTCTCTAAAACTTATTTTTTGCAAATTTTGTTATTAAAAAGCCACTCCCTAGCTTCATTACTTTCGTAGAAGCACATTTGTGTTGACATTAGGTTGCCACTGTGACAGAAATATTAATTATAGGATATGTAGAATGTGAAAGTAGAACCCTTTTTCCTATCTGAGAAAGTACTCAAGATGCCATTTATGGATTCAAAAAATATCCTTGAATAAGCGAGCCAGTGATTGCGATCAACTTGAGTTTGATGTGCAACTATCCAATAAAAATGCCTGTTAATGTTTACAGCATTTATTTTCTGTGGCATGCCAATTGCTTTAATTAAATGGCAATTATTTTATAGAAATTTAAATATGGAAGCCAGTTTACATTCTGTCGTCTCTCTTGCGATAAAAGTGAAAATCCAGACATCAGGAAATGTTCAATATTTTTCCTCGATCCATTATCCTCTTGCTTGTGCATGACTTTATATTGTGGTCGATTTATGAATTTCTTGAATTATGCAAGGCAATCTTTGAAGCCTTCTTTGGCCATATAAAGATTGCATGACTCGGAACCCTTTCCAAGCCTGAGAATGACTCCATTGCCAATGGTGATTTATATGCTGTCCCCACGGCGGGCAATTTGTGGAAGTGTGCCGCCGCTTGTGATTGAAAGAATTGCTTATTTCATTTCAAGAAGCAGACTCCATTATCATAAGTTATTCCTTATGTTACATAATATGGATACTTGATTTTGTCCTGCGTTCGATTTTTCTCATACAAGATATGATCTGTGTATACCAGATCCAGAGGATGAGGTTGACTACCAGAATCTCCGTAAAGCTGTGAAAGGAGTACCGAGGAGCAATGATTGAATACCATAAAGCAGTATGTTGCCTTCTTTGTTTCTGTATAGGATTTTTTTTTGGGTCTCACCCTGAAGCAGTTGTATCTAATTTTTTGGGCCTTTCTTGAGTCTAAGGAGACTTGTTGCTTACTTGTCAGGCTGTTGAAGCATTTGTGAATGGGGACCGTGACAAAGCAAAGAAACTTCTAGATCAGGTAAAAAGGTCATAGACCAGTGCCAAGGATAAAGTTCCCTCGTGACATGGAAGGCGCAGCATTTTTTTTTTGGGCTAATATTTTCATCGTACTATTATTTAAGTTGAAGATATATTGGGTTATTATCATCATATCTCCGACATGAGTCTATAATATACTACAGTCGCTTAAAATATATCATTTTAATAATGTATTCTGTGGTGATGACAGGGACAAGTTTATCTCACAAAAGCGCGCGAAGCAGATGAAGAATCTAGTAAAATGATTGTTGAAACTAAGTTAGTGTCTTTTTTTCTAGAATATCCTTTGCCTGTTCATATGTTCTCTTCTATCATTGTTAAGGGGATCGACCTGAAAATTCTTCTTTTACTATATTATGTCTCTTGCTATATTTATTGGCAGGAATGAAGAGTCACAAGCACTTGTGCTTGACTTACATGAATTTAGTTCAGGGCAGGCCATACGTCTATTAAAGTGTCATCTGTCTACACTATCTGGTCCATGTGAGTTATGATTATGAATGCAGTCTACTGATTTCGTGTGGTCTCCTGGTCCTTTTTAATCTTCTAATTATTTATTTTCTTTCATTTTTTTTGGGGGAAAAAATTTGCTTCTCTGGCAGCATTCGAGTACCTTAAGGTTATCATTTATGAAAGTAATCAAGATGTCTCTCAAGGTCCTCAATGTCAAAAAAGAAAAAGACGGGTAAGATCAGCTGAGTTCGTGTAATGTAATTTTAAAATATTATTACAGTTTTTGGTATTATGGTAGATAACATTTAAGTTGTATAGATGACATCTGGATCATTTTCTAATAATTATTATTGATGCGGCATTTTCTATTTCCTTTAAAAAAAATTGAAAAAAAAAAAAAAAACTATTCCCCTTGCTCCTTTAGTTTAATGGCTGCATATAGGTTGACCATCCTCCGTAGCTCCATTTTTTCCTGTGCATGATTAAAGAGAAGCTCAATCAGATGAACCTGTATGAATCTTATCTTTGCCTGTCATGTGTTTAGTCAGACACGGAAAAGCTCAAACACTTACACACACAGTCCCTTTGTCTTGAAAGAACTGGGGAATATCAAAGGTTCTCCGATTTTCAAAGTCGCTTTACTTCTTAGTACTACGTGTGATATTGTCTAGCACCAGCGTAGGATGTTCAAGTTTCTTGATTAATCTTGTTGTAATTTCTTTCATGTCCTCTCAAACCAAAGTCTTTTAATTTCAAGCATGGACTGTGTGCTCTGAAGAAGCTTGAGGAGTGTCAGATTGAAATCTTGGCCTTCTGTTGACAGATGCATGAGCATTGCATTGATCCCTTTTTTGCTTGAAACCACAAATTATTAAATAAATATCAATAAATAGTATGATTATAATACCTAACAGCCATTGACTATTGCATAATTAATCACACACTTCTTATGTTTTGGACAGATCACGGCGCTTTTACAAAACGAGTCTATAGAGTGGAACGAAGGGGAGACTTCTGGCACACTCTTGATCAGATTGGATAAAATAGACCCGAAACGCCTGAGTTTTCACCAAAAATAATGTGATCGTTGGAATCAAGCTGTTAAGTGCTACTTTAGAGTGATTGGTCTCAACTGCGTGAGACAATGACTGTGGTTTGGGTTTTATCATATTTGGAACAAAAAAGGGATTTGAGTGTGAGTTTTGGTATTTCGCCTTCTATTGTTGTCTGAAGTATGTGTAATGAACCTTTTGAATTATATGATGCTTATGATTGCTAACAATTTCTCCTTCCCTTTTCATGTTATTATATATTATTATGTGAAGCATCCCGCATCAAAATAAACAATATGACTTTATGCATATTTATGCTCGAAAAGACTTGAGTAAATGGACAATAAATTTATGCCTTTCAAACATGTGATCTTTTATAATTATAACAATGTCATAGCGAGAAGACCTCCAAAAACAAAAATTATCACACAATAACTATCTCATATCTGCTTATTGTGAAACCACCAAAAAAAAAAACAACAAAAACAAAAACAAGAAAGGCCGGTTACAAGATAAACTTGGATCAAAGGGTTACAACATAAACAGAAATTCGTAGCAATTAGGCAAATTCCAGAAAACAGCCTCACCTCTTGTTCTCGGGTTTTCGGGAGTTAAACTTATGAAAATATAAAAGATATACGTACCATCAAAGAGGAAGTTTGATAGCCAATCCCCCCGGCACTTCTGCATTCAGTGAACTTCCCAGTTATTTACCGCTCTCTTTGCTCCTTCTCCTCCCTCCTCCTCAGTTCTCTCCATCTTACCGGGGAGAAGTGACGGTCGTTCAAAACACATGGTTATATCTTTAAACTTTTCACATTCAACGGAAAAGGTAATAAGTCGGCTCCTGATAACGAGACACACTTTACTGCATTTAGATAACTGACTTGCAAATGATCCAATGAATATGACAATATCCATAATCCAAGCTTATTAGATCATAACTTCCCTCCTAAAACCCAATAAATTAAAGAGGATAAGCACGTTATTCTCCTCTCCCGTTTACTAATTCAAAGTTTTGTGAGTTCAACTTTCAATAAAGAGCTGGATACAGAGAATGCATTGATGCATATAGAAAATCTCCAATAGCGCAGAATCATGGTGAAGAAAGAAACTGTAACCCAGTCAAGGACCAGAACTAGGTCACTGTTAATTGGAGAATATGATACTTTGAAATAACATTGTTTGAAATTCGAAGGCAAATTGAATCCACCAATGGTGGTTTGCAAGAGATTAATGCAATTGGAGAATTGAGGTAGGTTTTGAAGTCTACGGCTTTCTCATATCAAGAATTTCTTTTGTTTTTTCATCTTCATCGATGTTATCTTCCTTCATACGATCTAACAGTCCATCTACTTCTTTTCCATGTCTTACATAAGCCTTGATGAGGGCGTGGTACATTCGTCTGTTTACCGGGACAAAATTTCTACATTTCTTAATGAGCCCACCAAAGCTTCTACTTCTTCAACACTTCCGTTATCACCAACCCAGCTAATTATCCCCGAGTACACCCTGGGATTTGGCTTCCATTCTTTATTTTCTGCCTGGAGGGCTGCTTTAAAGCAATCAAATGCTTTCTCCATCTCACCCTTACGAAGGTATCCACCTGCCACTTCAGTCCAGCTGTTTGACCTGGTCGCCTTCCCCCTCTTTTGTAAGCTTTTCAGCATGATTTCCGCTTTCTCGTGCAAACCTTTTTTCAAGTATCCAGTGATGACAACATCTGGGATGCGAGGATCATAACAATTGCCAGAGGACTCCCAGTCCTTCAATAATTTCTCAGCTTCATCCAGCTCACCAAGCCTTGCCAGAGATTCTAACATGGTTGTGAAATCTCTGTTTAAGCACCTCTTGCAATCACTCCTCTCCCGTTCCCATAATCTGATGACTCAGTCTTGTCTCCAAGACGAGCATAAAGAGAGATCAGAAAATTGTAACCAAGACCATCCTTCTTATCTAGCCTCTCCTCTGCTTTCTTTAGGGCATCAACTGCTTACTCGTAAGTCCTGCTTTTATATAGTAATCAGCCACAACAGTGTAAGTATTCCAGTCCATGACAATGTGAGATTGGTTTTCCATCTCTTTTAGTGTTCTTTCAATTCCATCAACATCAGACCTCACTCCAAAAGCATTGATACAGATTCTGTAGGAGAAATTGTCAGGCAAAACTTTGTTCTTTTTCATCTCGATCAGCACATCAGGGACCTTCTCAACCTGACCGGTGTTGGTGTATAGACACATGATATCATTGTAACTTAGAGGTGATGAAGCGAGGCCCAACTCCTTCATTTTCTGAAGATGGGAGAGGGCCTTCTCAGTTTGGTGCTGCCGTGTGTAGCAATTTAAGAGAGCACCATATGTCTTATTATTTTTATCTTCTTCCTTCAAGCTATTAAAATAGCCTTCAGCAGAAGATATCCATGAACTTTGCCCATCAGATCCAAATGCACAGCATGTTCAGTAGGTGAAAATATGCATACACCATTCTTATTCATCCACTCAGATACCTGCACCGTCAAGTAGCACAATTTAAGGGATAGATACAAGTAAACAATGAAAATTTTAAACAAGTCTGAACACTATGGTTTCATATAAAACCATGTTAGTCGCATATAATGTTCATATAGGAGTCTCTATATCAAACGTTACGCAACTCTGCCCAACTGCTCATTCATCAGATTTCACAACTCTGTACCATTTTAATAACCATATTGTTGAAGCACCACGATGGCCACAGTTTCCCTGCTTATTTTAACTGAATTGGTAATTTGTAGGTTTCAAAGTTAAATGATTCCTTCAAAAAATAAAATTGACCACAAATGATTTGTTATCAAATACTTATACATTTGTAAAAATGAAACCAATTCCCAATGCTCTAACTGTTGGTACATGGGTTATCAGTGAATAGAATCCTAAATAAGGTTGTCCTAACTAATAACACAACCAACCAAAATTAGTCAGTGCCAAATAATTAATCTATCACAAAAACTTTGATCATTATAGTCTTCGTTTTATGCTATGCTTGGGAATCAGCCAAAAATTAGTATTATGCGGTGACTTTGAAAGAAGTTTAATGACCTCTAGGGCTTGGGTGAACCTCCTGCGCTTGCGAAGATCTCGAACGATGCGCTGAAGCTCGGCAACTCTTATCTTGTTCCCCTTATATACCCAGTCCTCGAGCTCAGGTACCACGCTGCTGCTGGGGCTCCCAAGCGGACTGATTTTATTGTAGAGACTAGGTTTCCTGGTCCTACTCGTGTAGTAGAATCTGCTCGCAATCGTACTTTGCGTCGCGATTCTTCGAAGAAGATTCGATTCCATGGCCAGGGTTGTCAACACTCGACAGTTTACTACACTGCTCCGGGACTGGAAACGGAAATGGTCGCCATGGAGACAGTTCTTTCCCCCTTCACACCTTCCCGGGGTTTAGGGTTTAGAATGGGCCTGAATCGGGTTTTTATTGGGCCGACCTAGTTTGATGGGTCGGAGTTCAGATTATCATAGTAATAGGCGTACCAAACTTGGGCCTGGACAAGATGTTTATTGGGCCAATAAGGCTCATCGAATTCTTTCTCACATTAACCATATCAATTTTGTGGGCCTAAACAATGAGATATCTAGCCCAAAGTGGTGAAAACAGGGACATCTGGCCCAAAACTACAAAAACCTGATTAAATTTAGTAAAATTATGAGAACCAACCAAATAATTTTTTCAAAATATATATTCTATTGCATTTAAAGCTGATTTGTAATGGTAAATAAATTTTTACTCCCTCTTCTTTGCAATTCAAAAAATAAAACTAACACTCCCATAATATAACAAGTCTTCTTGACAAAACTTTGGTCCAAAGACAGAGTAGTTAATGATGATTTTTTATTCTTACCTTTTGTTATTAAAAAAAAAAACAGAGTGGTTTTTAAATATAGGGAAGAAATGATAAAATTTCAAATCACATTATTTAATAAGAATACATACAATTTTTATCAATTTAAAATACATTTAATGATTTAACTAATATTTTTTATTTGTAAAATATATACCAACGCGCTTATTGTGGATCGAAAGGAGTAGTTAAGCAGCTCTTATATTAAAGGTTAGAGGAGTGCGACATATCTTACACGTGGCTTCATGTTTGATATAATACTCATGAACTAACTAGGAATAACAATACAAAGACATTGAGTATTCAAATTCATGGAAATCAATATGCATTGCAGTGATAGGAGATGCAATTTTTGGGGCACACCCTCTTGTGTTCATAAATGTGAATCAAGGAGAGTGGTAACTTAATTTTGGTGGGGTGCCCATATATTGGGAGACACATTGCAACAACCTGCTTTGTAATTGTTTGAAATGGGCAATTTGTGATTGTAAATGCTGGTTCTGCTTCTTCAGCTCTTGGTTCTGCTGTAGCAATGATTCATTATTGTTATTATTATCACTATCATTATGATTGGTTCCTTCATCTGTGGCTGCATTATTATTTTCTTCGGAACAAGATTTCAAGTATGGAGGGAAAACACTTGGCTCGCACTTCTTCCTTGTTATCTCCGCCAGCAACTTCTTGTGACCTCTCTGAAATTTCTCCTGCTTGAATTCCCATCTCTTTGATGACACTTTCTTGAACCCCTGAATCATCAACTAACATAAGTAACTTGAGCTTGAAGTAACTCGCATAAAAATTAATTATTTATTAAAAAAAATCTTTGCTGTTTTCTTAGAACTATCTATTTCAATTGTTACTTACATTGAAAATTGATACCTTGATAGAAAACCCTTAATACATATATATAATTAATTTAAATAATCTATAAAACAATTTGTAAATTTGACGAGATATAAAATAAAATGATGTCTCATATTTAAAATTAAAATAAAATCACCAAAGGGAATATTATACGTGTGTATACACTTTACAACATGAAAGAAGGGATTAAGATTCTAAATAACCCTAGAGATGGTAATTTCTACTATTTTTAAGCATGTAAAGCAAACCCTGGAAAACAACACCTTTAAACTATGCAATAACCATCTACGTGCAAACAAGCAAAAATATACTACTCCGCCTAATTATAAGACCCAGTTGACTTATTTGAGGAGATTAAAGAAGTAATTAAGTTAGTTATTTGTAATAAATAAGTGTTGTCATTCCTAAATATCCTTGCTATTAATAATTGCTAGAACAATTATTATTAAAAGGATTTCTTGGAAAAAAATGCTAAATATGAGAGACAAAATGGATTGGGGTCTTATAATTAGAACCAAACAAAAAGTCAAACAGGATCTTATAATAAGGACCGGAGTAGTATAAGCTAAATTAACTAATCACAAGTAAACGGCAGAAACTGTCTCATACTACGTCCGTCCTTAATATAAGATCCCGTTTGACTTTTGTTTGGTCCTAATTATAAGACCCCACCATTTTGTCTCTCATATTTATGTATTTTTTTCCAAAATAGTCCTTCAATAATGATAGTTTTAGCCAATACACTTAATTAGCAAGGATATTTTAGGAACTGACATACTTATTTATTACAAATAACTAACTTAACTTACTTCCTTAATCTCCTCAAATTAGTCAACTGGGTCTTATAATTAGGACCGGAGGTAGTACTATATTTTCTACCATATACACGGGGAGACTAACTATCTATGTAAAGAAACTATTACATGATCTTATGCTTAACTCCAATATTATAGTACAAAAATAAATATGCAGCAATTAAAACATAAGCATATGATCGAATCTGAGATCCAAATTGGTCACAAGAATTTGAGAAAAAATGAGATTAATTAGATGATTTAATGATTGTAGCTCTATTATTGACAATGCAGCTTTGATTCTTACAATTAAATTCAGTTTGTAAAATTTGTCATGATTCTGATAATAGTTTTTTGAAGATTAATAAGCAAGAAGATCCTTTTCTGTCATTATCTCAATAAGATCGTTTTAAAGTGTCGTTTTGGAAAAAGGTGGGCCAATCAGGCATTTCCTTCTAAGCATTGGAAGAGTAGAGAAGAAGAAACCCAAATAATCAATGCATCAAATTAATATAATGCATCTATAATCTGATGTAAGATTTTACATGAATTATAAGAAACATATTATGTCTTTTCTATGCAAAGAAATTAAGTGTTAAATAATGTTTTTACACAAATTCAACAATTTTTGAGAATTATTAATTATCTTAGAGATTTTATCCCTCATGTGTCCAATCACACCAGTCACGTGTTCAAACTTCTTAAAAAGAATCCTCCCGCATGGGAGACAGAGCATCAGCTGTCAAAACCCTTAAAAGAATTGCACAGCAACCATCGAAACTAAAAAAAGTCAAAAAGTACTCTTACAAGTGCATGTGCTTTGCTTTAATTATTTCAATAGACAGATTGCCTTGAGCAGCAAAAATTGAAAGAATCGTTTTTCTTTTTGGTGGTCAATGAATTCAAGAGTCACGTTTAATTTATTGATGGAGAGATGAAATTTCTTGAACACAATTTTGTTTGATCCCTACGCAAAATCATTTGACAATTACATCAAGATAACATAAAAATCTATAAATAATTATATTTAAATCCAATTTGCCACACAAGATTATGAGATGACAAATTAATCTACGATTTTATATTTGACCAAAGTTCAAGATATTGATCCTCATCATTCCCGAAAATAAAATAATCATCATTCATCATTCACATCAAAACTTAATTATATGTAAATCGGGAGCCTGCAGAAGCAACTGGCCTGGGGAAGGCGAAACCTTCTCTTCCAGTCTTCTTGATAGTTGGAGAAATTTTTTTTTTTTTTATGGTTAGTTGGAGAAAAATTATTGCCAGAACTATTTACAGTGCAGAATATATCATCCATGCAAAAATGATAACAGAATAATAATAATAATAATGCTCATTTTTACCATTATATTTTTAAAGCATGTGAGACTATATAAAAATATATAAGATGTTGTATATTTCAAAATCAAAATCAATATAAAATATGAAAACTCTAAACTGTGAAACACTGAAACTTGACTCATTTTTCAAACTTCTAATAAATATAGGGCTCAAATCATAGTTATATGCACTTAAAATGTATTTCTCATATTATGTGAAGTGATTCATCAAATCTAGTACAAGACATGTTTTGATTCTGTAACAAAAAAATAATATAACAAAAAGGGAAGAAAAAAAAACCAATCAGCTATATGAATTACACGGTACCAACGTAAAGAATAATCTAAACTTAGAAAATAGTTGGAAAGACGTACATAGGTGTTTAATTGGCGGATGAAGCTGGAGAAGTTATTGTGTTTGAAGTATCTGGGCAAGATGAGCTCTGAGAATTCTGCAGGACGCCACACTACGAAACCATCTCCTTCCTCGTTCCATGACACTATTGATGGTCTCTTCCTTTCTTCTTCTTCACCTTGATCCGCTACTCCGCCTTCTTCCACCAAATCATACGTCTTCAACAGAAACGGCGCCACACACCGTCCCCTTGGAGACTGGCCGCCGCCGCTGCCACTGCCGGAGGCCACAGTGGCTGCCGCGGCTGTGTTGTTGAGCTTTAGCTCCGTTAATCTTTCAGCCATGTTTGGAATACGTTTGGTATAATATATAGCTACCTCTTCTTTTTGCGTTGCCCAAACAGGTCCTTATTCCACACTCTGCTTATATAATATTAATACCACAACTTCCTAGTGTCCTCGGTGGTAGATGGGTAACTTCTAGCTAGCTAGTGCCGTGTATGGTGAGGCTGTTTTCTAATTGTTAATTATTTTTTCTTTTTGCTCTTGATTTGCTTAAAATTTTTATTTTTCTATTATGTTCCTCATGTCAACAGATGCAATCATACATTTGTCTAAATTATAAATAGAATAATTTATTTTTCACAAAAAAATACTATCTCTATTTCTTAATATAAAATTTTATTTGATTTTTATCTTGGTCCTAAATATAATACTCCAATCCATTTTTATATTATATCTATTCATTTTTTTAAGATAGTCCTTCTAATAAACTTGATTAACAAAGATATTTTGAAAAAGACAACACATATTTATTATAAATAATTAACTTAATTTATTTTTCTAATATATTTAAATTAGTCAACTAACTCTTATATTTAAGATCAGGCTAATTAGTTTATTTTTGGAACTCAGGAGTGTTTGGATAGAAACTAAACCATAGTTTCAGAAGTGCTTTTACGGATTACGAAGTAAATATATAGAGGAGGTTATCTCGTTTTGCAGAAAAGTGCTTCTGAAACTGCAATTTTGAGAATGCCAAACACCCTGTCAGTACACGTACGTACACATTGCACGAGAGAAAAAGACGACCCACATTTACTAGTTCTTTGAATAATTATTTTTAATGTATCAAACTTGTTTTAATTTAGGGGTGCGCGATATTTTTGTGTTAGTCAGGGTTAGGAAGTTTCTCGAGTTGGCCATGTGATATAGTTTTTCTCCAGCGTGTTTGACCTTTGAATAAAGACCAAAATAATAGTTTCTATGTGCGTGTTGCTTACTATATTAAGATATATGTTCCATATAAAAATATTTCGTTAATAAATATTACCATATTATCGTTTTTAAATTTTCTAATTAAAATTTATAATGACAAGAGGTTCATATAATTTTAATTGTACGGCAATTAATTATACCACTTCATCAAGCTTTTTTTTTTAAAATTCAATTATTCAGAAACTTAAAAAAAAAGTAACATATTTTTATAAATTATAAGCGACTTAGGCAGCCACTTTAGAACAAAAAAGAGAAACTATACTAATAGTTCATGTGCTGAAGACTGGCAAAAAATTTTAGATAATTAATTTCCTATTTGCATACATCAACACAAGACCTCATATTATGGATTATTAATTTAACTGTGTTGTCGTTAATTTACATCATCGCATGCGTTACCATTAGAATCAAAAGAACAGTAGTGGCCTTGTGTCTGCTTTGACTCCCCGAAAAATAACTACAAAGAATTTAAATTAATATTGGTTCTAAATTCCGTTAAAAAGCATATAATCCATATAAAAAGTCATTTTGATGAATTTTGTTTCTTTTTTGAGTTGACTACTTTTTATGCATATATATTAGATTATTTTACACGTTTTAATGAAATTGATAATCCTATATAGAATTACTAGTGATCGCACTATATGTTATGGTTTTTTTTTTTTTTACATTGTAAACCACTCAATTCATTTTTTATTTGATGTCAAAAACACTCTTAAGTTAAACAAAGATATTATGCTCGTTTCCAAATGTTATGTCATTTCAAAAATATTAATTATTAACAATATCTATAGACTATAACAATATTGTTAATGTTACTTTTACTTTCAAATTAAATAAAACTGTCCATTTTCTATTTAAGAATGAAGTGTTGGAATTAGTTTATTATAGAACTTTAATTAATACTTTCATAATTTAGAAGGTTGAAAGAATAATGCGGGAATTAATGGGTCACATTATTACATTAAATGACTCCTCAAATAATTAAATATAAGAAGCCAAAACTTCTAGACATAATGCTATTATGCATGGACCGAGCTAAGTGAATATCATATAGTATTAATATTAGTCATTAGAAATATTCTCTCTATTTCTTTTTAGTTGTATCTGGAAAAAATAATAATTACATTTATTTGTCATTTTAAAATTTCAACATACGAGTGTATCATAAAAGGCATCAGTACATATCTCATACATGATTATAAAATTAGTTAAGCTAATTAAATAGGTAGCAAAATATAATTTTGTTTAGTTTTGGCCTTAATTATTGTGGAAGGGTGTGGAAAAAATTAGTTTTGTTTGGTGTGGCACCATCATTGACTCTAATTGGTGGATCATTTATGTGATTAGTTTTTTCTCTACCACATGCTGTTCAGTTTGTCGCCACCTCACCCACTCTTAATGCCGAAATTAAGTTTTAGAATAATCTCATCACAATAATTATACATGACATGTTTTTTTTAAAAACCAGAAAAAAAAAAAGATACACTAAAAATAAACTCCTTACAATCTTTATGTCAATTAGAAAGTATTCTTGATCATTTTTATAAGACACTCGTTGATATAAAAGAACGTTAAATTTTTTTTTATATGTACCCAGAGTTAATAAGGGTAATAGGAGAGAGTAAAAATTAATATAATATTTGAGTTTATCATAGCTAATAAAAATAATATTAAAAATCACTTGAATTTTATGAAAAATGTAATGTTTTTAACCGTTTTTTATTAGTAAATATAAATTAGTTAGAATTGACTTGCAACGAGGGTTGGAGAGAGTACTTCTATATTTTTATTTATAAGTCATTTCAAAATTATTTCATTGAAATTAAGAAAAAATTTTAAACTTAGTTTTATGGATATGTATTGATAAAATAGTTATAAATTTTTGCACATAACTATCCGAGCAAGATGAAAGTGGACTGAAATGAAGTATGGAGAAGGAAGATAGGTAATGGAATGAAAGGGAAGCTGGTGGAAGCATTGATTTGACTATTATGCATATGGGTTAGGTGTTTACCTATTGCATCAAGACAAATTGAATTGCATCATTTATATGTTGTCCCTATAAAAATCATTAAGTTGACTCTTCATTACAAAAAACTCAATCACCTAAGAATATATCCACTATTGTACGATATCCATTTTCATACCAATTAATTAAAGTCAAGCTTAGGTTATGTTGGGGCTCTGGTAATAAAGTCTGAGCTGAATTGCATTTTAGCTTTGAACTGTTTTCAGAACGCGCCCCCCTTCATATCCGGTTGCTGTGGTGTAGTGGTTATCACGTCAGTCTTACACACTGAAGGTCCCCAGTTCGATCCTGGGCAGCAACATCATCTTTTCGCTTTAGTTTCTTTTTTAAATTCTTTTTGGTTTGGGCCTTTTCACTTTCGGGTTTATCAACGGCCAATAAGTTAGGTCCATCTTGCCGCTGACAATAATTAGGTTCAGTGAAAGAAATTTTATTTATTTGTTTAAATATGGTCAGGAGTTTGAATTTTATAAATAAACCTGACAATATTTGATAATATCATATACAACGTAGTTGTATTTCAAAAACAATAATTTTACATTTAATTGCCACAATACGAATATTATATTTCTTTCTTCTTGTCTCTCTGCAATTTTCGCTTGTTTACATTTCCATTAACAAATAAACAAAAAAGTTACTATAACTTTTAGTCCTCAAATTTGTCTTCATTCTGATTTTAATCTTTCAAGTTTTAAACTGTAAGTTTTGGCACATTGAGAGGCAAAATGGTTTAAATTTTTATTAGATTATATGTAAATGAAAAGAAACTTGATAGGCCAAAACTTATAGTTTGAAATTTGAGAGACTGAAACTAAAATGATGATAAACTTGAAAAACTAATGTTTACATTCATGCAAAACAAAATAAAAACAACAAGAAATCAAACCCTATATAATTTATGATGAATATTGAATGAGACCAAAAATTGCTAAAAATCTTTCCTTTGGTCCAAAAGCAGCTGAAAGTATTGAAAACAAACGCAACACCCGGACCTAACAAATCTAACACTAAGAGCTCATATATAAATATAAATATATATAATAGCAAACTAACACCAGGCATATTATTGCCAGATTCCATGGACATAGCAGATATGGCCTACTTGTTGGTAATGAATTATGTATGCGTACGTACATGCATACAATATTCATTAATACTACCAAATATTACACAATTATTTCAAAGAAATAATTACAAGATGATGGTTACTATTATAAAATTGATAAAATAAACACAATTCGAGTCCAATGCAATCTCATATTCCAAGATGAAAACGACCAAATAATTGCCAAAATCTTTCTTTAGTCCAAAAGAAGCATTGGGAAAAGAAAAGCAACACTCGGACTTAAGACCGGAAAGGAGTCATAATATTTGCCGGGTTCCTTGAATCTAACATTGCTGGGTCCTACCGATCCCCCATCCTCCAGTCATCGCATGCGTCCTCTGGGTCCTGGTTGGTGGGTTGGAAGAATAGGTGGATGTTTTTACGCTCCCTCCAATTAAAAATATAAGCATGAAATAACTATGTAATTTAAAAAATTGGTTAAATATAATATATACAACCTCTGATCCTTACTATAAGACCTTATTTGACCTTTATTTTAGTTTTAAATATAAGATCTCAATCCATTTTGTCCGTCATATTTATGTATTTTTTTTCAAAATAATCCTTCTGATAATAGTGATTCTAGCTAATATACTTGATTAGCAAGGATATTTTAGGAAAGACAACACATATTTATTACAAATAACTAACTTAACTTCTTTCTTTAATCTTTTCAAATTAGTCAACTAACTCTTATAATTAGAACTGGAGGTAGTATCATGTAACCTACTATTTCCGATCCTAATTATAAGGCCTCGTTTATAATATACAAATAAAGTCTTATAATTAAAACCGGATGTAGTATTTTTCTAAAACACCTTTATTTATGAAGAGGGTAAATGGAAGAGACAATGAGTGAAAAAAAAAAAAAGAGAGAACAAGTGAAAAAAAGATATGAGAAAGAGATATAATTAATTAGGGATAAAAATGACAAAAAAATTAAATGATTAGAGAAATTCAAATTGTATCGTATAAAAAAACAAAGCCCATTTAAAGATTTATGGATTAATACCCTCTTCCTCTTATGTTTACTAAAATGCAAATAATTTTTTTCTCTTTTTATCTGCTTTCATAGTTTTTTTTTTTAATAAATCAATACTATATTTAGTCTCTGAAATTTGAAATGGTTTTTATCCTTCAAGCCTTGTTTTTAAAATACTGTTCCAAAGATTAAAAAAATATTTAAGCAGACCAAAATGAGGTTAAATTTTAAAAATCAAAATCAAAATGAGATCAAACTCTAAGGACTGAAAATGCTATTAACCTTTTTTTAAAAAAAAAAAATCAACACGTTTATCAATTTCATCCGCCACACCATTATTTCTCATGCCAGCAGTTATATGTTGCGCTATCCAATACCTGTGCTTCAACATTCTTGCTGATGTGAAAGTATATTTGATAAGAATAATATCAGCAAAGTATCAACGATAAGCCCATAATAATACTGCATAGTATCAACTTATATATTACTGATGCATCAAACAAATGATAGCATAAATACCTATATCATGGATAGTACATTTACGATGTTTATCACAGCTAGAAATATATCTTTACAAAATATACATTAGAAACTCCAAAATAATCTCAACCAGGGTGCTCAAAAGACGATGAGACAGAGAACAAAACAGCAGAAGAGGAAGATTGAGATTCTGTTCAATGACTTATCTGCTTGCATCACCTGCCTTCTCAGTCTCGGGCTGTTACTGCCCATCTGCTGATAAGCATCCGGGTAAGCGTATAAATTTTCCGGGTTGCCAAACACTCTGGCATAAACCATCTCAGCCACAGGGTGGTAAAATCCTTGAGGTGTAAGAGTGGTACTGAGATTGAACACTTGTGATGAGGCATCCCCTTCCCTTTGGTACCGAGGAGAACTGAAATGTTGGTGACTTTGATGAGGATAATGATAAGGAAGATGCTGATGATGACCACGTTGAGATGATGATGCTGACATCAGAGCTTGAGCGCCAAATGCTCGCGGTCTTGGTGGTATAAAAATATCGTGACATGATGCCTTTGTGTCGTGCTCGGAAGGAACCGGGGTTTCACCCCGGCCATACAGGGGGACCAAGGTGGTGGGGCATATATCAGCCCTGCAAACTGGGCATTGTGGGTGTTCATCAGATGCCATAGAAGCACTTTGGACATGAAGCCACTTGTAGATGCAAGGCCAGCAATAGAGGTGGCCACAGAGGGTGACCACAGGTTCAAGAGCAAAGTCAAAGCAGATGTTGCAATTAAAACATCCGTTGTAGTTTCCAGTCTCTGTCATCATGGAACTTGGAATGCTTTTCCATTCCTGGGAAATGCAGTGTTCAAAGGCCATGAATCATGGACACAATTCTCACACCTTTTTCCAACAGTGCTCCTTTAACCCTGGAATGGAGAATAGATTAATTCAGATCAATAAGTTAATTACATGTGATTGAATTTAGTTTAAGGCAAGGGCAGTGTTCATATTTACAGTTGAATGGAATAAAGAACCATCAGTACACAACATGAAGGTAGAAATTTCGATTATAAGTAATAAAATGCAAGCTGAAGATGATTAGATTGATTCTAAACTGCACAAATACCTTCATCAATTATTTCTCCTTATTAAACCCACTCTTAATTCAGATTTCACCAGTCCAGTGTCACCATAGTGAAGCTATCAATAGAGAATATAGAAGCTATAGCAAACTGTACTATTATAAATCATGAACAATGCAACTCACTCCTCAAGTTTCATGCCATGCACATTGGCCCACCTAGTTTTCAACAAAACTATATTTTCCAATTGCCATTTAGTACCACTGATGAAACCAAGTAGAATATTTATGAATCTAAGGCAAAATGCTAGCCCATATTAAGTCATCATCTGCTCTATGGGCAGAGTTAAGAGACAGTCGTGAAACATATCTGAAATTAATGATACCTACCATGTAGGCACGGATGCAAAACAAGAACCACGTGTCTAAAAGGATGCAAAACAAGAGTCCTGATCTTAGATCAATATCGACAGGCAACTGCTAGAACATGGGTCACCTAAAACATCTTATACTATGACATTAAAAGCGAAAGGGCCTACTAATTCTGAGAAATAAACCTAAATTTAAGATTCTTACAGACATAATCAAAGGAACGCCTTTTCCAAATGTTTGACTATCAAGAATTGTAACAAGTTGTGAACAAATGAAGAGAGTCCAATTCATTCAAGCGATAAGACGCTAACAAGCAATTCCATAAGAAACAAAGAAGAAAATCAGACTATCAGAGTCAGTCTTGATGTACAATGCAATCCCTAAATTTCATTGCATTGCTGGGTGAGTTTCAGAACATGCCAAAATACAATATACTAAAATCGCATCATTTTGCTTCGTTTTGTTCATTTTCTTCAGATGAAGCCCCTATACTTCTCCTGTGAGTTCTTTTTCCCCTTCAGAGCTGTTTCTCTTTATTGTCTTTGTCTGTGAGTGAGTTAAGCAAAGCTTGGATCTTTCTTTTGCGTCGTCTTTGTCTTTATTTTGGTATATGCCAATTAGTGAAGCTTACTTCCAAATCACCGAGCCTCTGTTCATTTTTGTCCGTGAACGAAGCTTGCTAAATCATTCATTTGCTTAGAAGCTTCAGCATTTGTCTTTTTGCTCCTATTCATTAATCCACAGTCGCTGCTCATAAAAAACTGTTGCTTCATTCGTCTCATTGCAAGTTCTACGTTTTAATGAGTTGATGTGTTGCATATATATCTAATAGACTCAACTTTTTTTTTTTGTTCTCCTACATATCTATGGTGTTTTCCCCAATAGGTGCGTTGTATCACTGCCTTTTAGATTTTAAGTAGACAACCTAATTGTCAAACGCCTGCCAAGAGTAAAAGAAAGATGCCCATATCTTCAATTAGCTAAAGAGCTCTCAGGATCTTAGGGCTATTGGCAGACATATAGTGCTCTAGCCAATTCTACAGCATTGGACATACTTATAGCAGACAGGTAAACAAGAACATTCATCGTGTCCTATAAGAAATTTCATGCAATTACCAAAACATTAGATAACAAGTAAACAATGACATAACTAAAGAATCATTACGGATGCCAGATAGATCAACCATCCTATCAGGACCTCCCCGACCAAACGAAAATGCCATCTAATTCAGAACACAGAATGGTCAATTCTCAATTGATTGATATTTATGAGCCCAGCAAACCTGAATGTTGCCAAAGATCAAAAGAAAGCAAAAGCACAAGATCGAGCAAGCTAGGACATTCAATCAAAATCAAATGAGAACAATCACAGGAGAAAAAACAAACCCAGAGCATTGAACCGGCTTTCATTTCCAGAGTCTAACAGAACAAATCGGAGACAACAATTAAAAAAATGTGAAGAAATAAACATACCCAGAAAGCAAAAAAAAGGAGAAATTTTGCTTTTAAGTTCCTTCCGTCCGAAGCCAGAGAAACTTCTTCGAAGAAGCTGTGATGGCGAATTGGATAAAGACGGATAAAGGAGAGAGATGCTTGGGAGGAGTGAAGGTGGGGTTTGGGACAGGAATGGAGGAGCGCGTCTTTCGTTGGGGTTTATATAGGGAAGGAAAATCAACTTCCCTCGATATGCACATAGACTTCACTCCTCACAGGAAATTGAGGACCCACCTCATTGTGACGTGGCACTGCGATCACATGCACGAACCAGCTTCTGTTTCGGCGTTCATCGTACGATGTCTAGGTAATTGTAGTAAACAACTCATTTGCTGAGCAATTCTTGCGTGTCCATCGACATCGTTAAATATTTTTAAAACTTTTCTAAGCGGAATTGTTTCCCATACGTCATCAATGTACATTAATTATTATTAAATAATTATCAAAACTTTATATATGTGTGTATGGCTATATCTAAATATTCTTTAAAGTTTTACCCAAAAAGTCTATACCATTATAGTAATCATTACAAAAAATCTTTTATTTTCTTTGACGGTGTTTCGGTTTTTTTCCTCTATTTCTCTTATTTTTCTTGTAATTTATATTTTTCCAATATTTTTCTTGATTCAAAAAAATTTTTCTTCAGTTTTTTTATATCTTTACCATGCAGGAAAAATAAGTATAAACAATATCTTATAATTAGGATAAAAAATAGTATTATACTACCTCCGGTCCTTAATATAAGATCATGTTTGACTTTTATTTTGGTCCTAAATATAAGACCCAAATCCACTTTGTCTCTCATATTTATATACTCCTCCGGTCCTTAATATAAGACTCATTTAACTAATTTGATTAGATTGAAAAAGTTATGTAAGTTAGTTAATTATAAGAAAAGTGATACATTTTTCCTAAAACACCATGATCATCTTTCTTAATACCCCCTCTCCCTCTTCTATTTGATTATGGTTGAGGGAGTATCCATAGGGGTAATTTAGAGAAAATTGATAAATATGAAAAATGGGTCTTACATTTAGGACCAAAACCAACTCAAAAATTGGGTCCTATATTAAGGACCGGAGGAGTATATTTTTTCAAAGTAACCCTTCTAACAATGATAGTTCTAGTCAATACATTTGATTAGCAAGGATATTTTAGGAAAGACAACACCTATTTAAGACAAATAACTAACTCAACTTACTTTCTTAATCTCATCAAATTAGTCAACTGGCTCTTATAATTAGGACTGGAGGCAATATAAAGTTTTAATTTGATCTCTTAATTTTAATTAGTATATTTTTAGTTTTTAGCTCTAAAATTATTAGTCAATTTTTTATAACAATAATAATTATTTTAAAAATTAAATTTAATATATTAGTTTTTAAAAGTGTTTTATCGATATTTAGTCATTTTTTGTTAACAGTTTTAAAATTAAATGAATAAAAATATATTTTTTAAAGTTGAGAAATTAAATTTATACTAACAATAGTAATAGAATCCTTATCAACGTCAATATTAATAGAATCTTTAGGTTTTGTTAATTCGGTGTTTAGTCCGCGACTAACTGCCTATGTTAACACAAAATCATATCAATTCAAATTTGCACACATTGTCAAGTGATTTTCCAAGCTCGTTTTATTATATGCTCACAACACACACACACACACACACTCTACTATATACATATAACTGTATAATTAAGTTTACTTAATTAAGATTTAAGTTCACGCTTTGTCCATATTGATAACGCCGTTGTGCTAACCTGATTCTCCGGACTGATGATAATTTTTTTTATTCTTCTCAAAAGTTTTTCAATCATTGTCCTGCAACCTGCAATGTAATTAGAAATTCAATTATATTCTTCCCATTTCAATCTCATGCATGTTATAAATGTGATTAAATAATACATACATCGTTAGTGTTCACTGAATTTTAACTTTCACATTAAATAATCAGACAATAGCAATCTAGATTTTTTTTAATTAATGAAAAAAATCATGAGAATATATGTCATCTCACTTCTTGAAAGAAAGTGACACATATAATTAATCATTAAATATTTAGGTCCCATACAACAATGCAATACTGTAAAATGATTACTTAGATGCTCATGCAAATAATTTTTTTCTAAACAACAAGTTACACGTACTTACCAGATATCATAAATTTTGAAAGACGTGTTGTGTTTAATAACAAATTAGATTGAATCCGACGAAAATGACTAGTCTTTCATAATGTGATTAATTAAGATTGACTAATCCTTTATAATGTAATTAATTAAAATTAACTAGTTCTTTATAATATGATTTATCAAGATTTAAACCCCAGCAAAAAAAAGCCCGACAGATTGACGTCTTCATTTTCAAAATCTATAATCTAATCTTAATTTTAATATAATTTTTATTAGTTAAAATTTAGGGTGAGAATTTTAAAATTATCAATCTATCCTCATAATCTAATTATCTACTTTCTTCTTTTTTTGGGCCAACTATCTATTTTTCTTTCTACAAGTTTAAATAAATACATTATAAGATCTGTTTTATATGTAAGACCGGATAATTATATAATTAAGCAAAGCAATATTTAACTAAATATTTTGACAAATGTAAATTAAAAAAAGAAAAAAACTGTATTTCCCTCCACAATTTAACTAAAAAAATGGTTTTTTAAATCTCGCAAAAGTTTCAGAAACCCAACGCCTGAGCGCGCTAAATTTCTTGCAATTCACAAGAATTGTAAACATATTGAATCTCTCACTAATAACGAAGAAGCTACGCTTCACTGAGCTTCGATTCATCTGCAATGTCTACAACAAAAATCGGAACCAGGAAACGAGCATCCGAGCCTGATCTCGCCATCTCGGACAAGAAAAAACACGTCGGAGAGAATTTCGACTTCGATTTTGATCTCTCCGAGTTCGTCTTCCGATAACAGTTTCCCTTCGTCTTTGATTTTTTTTTTTGTTGGAGTACTATTCTGAAATATCTTAAGAAATTCGAATCATGGCGATGAATTTGCAGTGATCTCAAAGGAATCATGACTGCGCTGCAACACATAAGAGAGAGGGCTCAGATGGACGATCAGAAGAAGAACGAAGAGACAATAAGCAGGTACTACGATGCCATGTGATCATAATTGAAGATTGTTCTGTTGTGAACTCTAATAAGTATTTAGTGTTTGGAAGGTTTGTGCATTTTTGTGCGATCTGGCTTTTGGTCTTGTATAGTGAGAAATCAATGCAAGCTGTTTCAGTGAAGTTGCATAATTATCTGGCATTCGAACGGTTACTGAAGTCTGTTTTAACTTATTATTTCGAATTCGAGAAATGTGCTTCTTACAGACTTAAAATTCTATACTTACGATGCCGTGAGATTGAGTTATGAGAGCTTCGCTGCTAAGGCTTTGTGAGTAGTGCTTTCTGTTTGTGACAGCGTGGCAGCTGAAATCAAGTCTATGATTGAGGAACTGAAGTCCAAATTTGAGAAGGATAGGTAAACTTGAGGCCATCTTATTCCAAATTCAGTGTTATACTTCCTATATCTCGTTTTAACCATATTGAGTTCTGTTTCATCGGGCTAACCAAGGATTTTTTCCCCCCTCTTCTTTACACTGTCAGACAAAGTTTTGCTAAGGCACTTTCAAAGAGTTCCAAAGACGTATGTGACAATAGTTAACAGCCAATACGATTGCTTCAAGTCATAAGAAAGGAATTACATGTTACTTGGAATTCAATTTGTTTGTGTTTGTTGTCTTGCAGTGTGAGAATTCCTTGAAGAATGAAACTGTGAAGTTCCAATCACTATACGAGAAATTTTCCAAGGAGAAGGCTGCCCATCTACAGGCCTTGAAAGGTACTTACACCGCTGTTATCATCAACAGCTCTGACCCTATGAAGTGCAGTGCTCCTTTTGCAATTACATTTATAAGATTCAAATGAAGATGGATAATAAATAAAGGTGAGATACCTCACGGAACCGTTTCAGACAATCAAAACACTGGAGCTCTTGATTAAAAAAAAATTATGCTTATTGTGTCATGTATTCAGTGCAACCCATCAGCCAACGGGCTTCTGTAAAGTTTATTCTTGGATCTACTTTTACGTATTAACAACGGGGTTGAATTGGAAAAGAAGTAATGACATGTCTTGTATTGCCTATTTGGAGTGCTGTTTATCGTCGGATCTCTTTTGGTATCTTCTATATACCCGGAAAAAAATGGATCAATGATGGACAAGCAGTATAATCAAGTAATTTATCTTGCAAAAATTCAATTTATTTACCACTTAATACTCGTACAAGCATCATTTTCAGAATGCAAGGGAGCCGATCTTTAAAATCAAATCATTTTATCTTGCAAAAATTCAATTGCATGCAGATTTCATATACACGATCAATCATTATCCCATTAACTCTCTCAGAATAAATTTGGACATGTTTTAAGCGACCATTTAGTACTCTTTGCTTGATGCATTAACTGCGGTCTCTGTTTGCTAGATATATTCTCTAAATTTGAGGAAGAGAAGGAAAAGCTGTTCTTGAGATACGAACAACTGAGTAAGCCTTAAGACTCATTTCATCTTTCTGGTGAAAAATGATAGGAATTTGAGGCCATTGCTTTACGGAATATCTTCTCTAAATGCTTTCTTTATGGACATTTATCACCATTTCAGGAAAGAAGGAAAGAAATATGATATCTCAACAAGAAAAGGCCTGTAATGATAAAATTGCCAAACTGGAGGAGTCCTTAAAAAAGAAGAAACAGGTATATATATGCTCATAATTAGCATTGAGTTCTTGGATTCGCAACTGCTTTCGCTCCTACCTTTGTTATTTAGTTTATACCCGCACAGCACAAAGCTCACCTTTCT